TTTAATTGTATTAATTATTATTTAATTATTATTTATATAAAAAAATGCAGAAACGAATATTGTTTCAATATATTACATTTATTTCTAAAATATAAATATGAATATATAAATATTAAAATCTAAAGTTAATATATATTTTATATATTAATAATTATTACTTTTAATGATATGAAAGAAATTTTTAAAAATATTTTTCCTTTTTTAATTTAAAAAAACGTATTATACATAATAAAAATTAGTTTACTTGAAATTATAATTATCCATTTATGATTAATAAAGTTAAAGTTAAAAGTTAAAAGTTAAAGTTAAAGTTTAAAGTTAATATTTTTTAAATATAATAAATTTATTTATTTGAAAGTGAATTACAATAATCAAATTAATAAAAGGTTTGAAAAAAAATTTAATTAATGGTTTTGAAATCTTCAAATAAAAGAATAAATTAAAGTCAAACATCTTTTATTAATAAATTTTTTATATCTTTCTATATTTATTTTTTTATGAAATTAAATAAAAATTAATATAATAAAATAAAACTAACAAAAATTTTCTTTATTATATATATAATTGCTTGATATTTATTTGTGATATACGTGTGAAATACAATTTTTAATAATACATATATACAAAAATTGCACATATATATAGTATATATTGCTACAATGTAAATATGAAATTACAATATTTGGCTAATATATAATCTTAAACGGAAAAATTTAGAAGCAAATTGTTGCTGTTAATTTACATGCAAATTTTATAAAAAATTTTTCTAAAAGGTATTCATATAAGAATTATATATAAGAGCTATTATATATAAGAGCTACCAAAACAGGATTATAATAATCTTGAATGACAATTTTACGACTTACTTACAATAAAATTTAATTACAATATAAACTTGAATTTATGTAATGTGATACATATGTATATATTCATTTATACAAATAATAAAATCTAAATATTCATAATCATTTGTTCAATATATTCCTAGTATTTACAAAAAGAAAAAAAGTTAAGATAGAAAACAAATATGATATCAGTATATTGATAACAGATTTGTTTCGTTCTCATTTTATAAAATTAAATATTTTATAATAAAGTAATCAAAAATAAATTTTTCGAGAATTCTTTTTATTTTTATTGTGCATGGATTGCTACAACGTAATATGCATACTGTTTTGAAGCCTGTTGTAACTATGATTTCATCGTCTACGTAATATCACAGACAGTCTTAAAAATATCACGAAATATCAATAACAATTCAAGATAATATCAATTACAAAAATGCTTTTTATGATTTTTGTCATATTAAACAAAACATATATTTGGGCTTACAAATGGAAATAATGTATACAAAAAATGATAAATATCTTTGGATATTTCGCAGCAACGATTACAATTCTTTACATATATATATAAGATATTTTATATATATATAATATGTTTGATATTTTCTTGACAATATATGATTTTATATATTACGGAAAAAATAAATTTTTACTACATATTTAAATAAATATTTAGTTTAAATTCCTAATAGAAAATTAATAAAGATTTAAATTATATGAAAATAATATTATTAAGTTCAACGAAAAATATAAAATAATTTTTTAGCAATTTTTTTTATTTTTGCTCCTGTATCAAAATGCAGATAAGTTGTACAAATATAAAAATATATATTATTAGAAAAATATTTAAAAAATCAAATTTGTAACCATTTTATCAATATTCAGCATTTTAATTTGCAAATCGATAATTCTTGATTTGATTATAAGTTAAAAATGAACACGCAAATTCTCATATTATTTTATATATTCTGATATAATTTAATAATTATTTATTAACTATATTAGATATTCGTATTATTTATATATACAGTACCATTCATTATGCGATCATGTAAAATATTATCACATTATTTATAAATAAATTAGAAAATTAATTACTATTAAAATTATTAATATAATTGTTAAAATTATATTAATTATACATAACATTTCAACATTTCAATCAAAATTGAAAATCAATAATAATATATAAATATATATTTGAGAGAAAAACGAACAAATTATTTCGATTTTATCTAGATGTTCGTGATAATAATAAATAAAAATATTAACTGATATGTATTAATTGGCAGCTCAATTAGTCATTCATATAATTCATTTTGAAATGGTTAGACAATTTAACTTGTAAATACAGTATTTTAATTTTAATCACATTAATAATCAACAAAATCATCGTAACATGTTTGGCTAGTGATATTTCCTAAATGAATTTATCATAAAGAATAAAAAAAATGAGATAAAAAAAAGATTAAATAAAAATAATAATAACAATTATGATTATATATATTTTTCATTTTATTTAAGAGATTCAATATCTAAAAAAATTTATCGAAATTGAGTTCTAAAAAGTTATTTTGTTATACCTTTTTTATTCGAACAAATCATTTGAAAGTTTTTTCTTAACCAATGATTAATAAAACATAATCGCAGTTGCCAGGTCAAAGTTAACGGTTATTTTCACATAAAAAGAGGAAAGAAATCACATCGATGTGCATAGTCAAATCGCGTAGGTAATTTTATATTCATAAGAAAAATATTAACTTTCCTCCTTTTTCTTTATTTATTTCTCCTTTCACTTCCTGATTTTTTTTTTATCTTTGTCTTTCTTGCTTTTTTGTTTTACAAAGGTTGATTCTTCTTCATGTCCATCCTATCTCCTTTCATCTTTCGCAGTACACCGGCTAAAAGGAAAGCTACGATTGGTCATAACTGGCTAGGATCAATGATGCTGCAATTGTTAGAGCCTAATGACAACATGGCCTCACGTTACAATTTTCTAGATTATTAAAATAATATGTTCATAAAATAATACGTCTATGATATATGAATACTTTTGGATATTTCTAGAATCAGAAAAATCCACTTTCTATCAACAATAATTGGACATTTCTAGAACCAGAATTCTAGAGCGACTCTTTTAATATAAAAGAATCAAAATTCTTCCCAAATTACACAAGATGAAATTACACATAGAAAATTGAATATATTAGGTCGAGGAAGCACAACAATTGAGTATTAATAAGGATTAATACTCTTCTTTTTGTTAAACTTTCCTTCTAATGTATAAAGAAGGATTAATCAATATAACAACTTTTGAAAAACATTTTTAGATATCTTCTTCTTCAACAATTGGCAAACTGCTCTGATGCATCAACGGACTTGTTTTCACAGTAAAAGCCATTATCCAGTAATCAAGTTCCTTTTTATTTTCTATAAGAAAAGTTAAAGCAATAGGCGAATCGAAACCTTTTTGCCTAACTAGAAAACCTTCTTCCCCATAACGTTCGATCATTGTATTTCTCAAATTCAATACGCCTAAAGGTCTGCACACCTTTTTTTGTGGATAAATTACAGCGAAATGCTCAACACTCGTCCGGTAAACCTTCACTTGTACACCTTGGCGATGGCCGTTCGGCCCCACTAAGGTCATATAACCGTTCATATTTTCAGTATTCCAACAAGAATCCACATTTGAATTTTTCAAACTCGATTGATTGAATTGCAGGAAGCTAGTATGCATTGCTACGTCAGCCGGCATATTATTTTTCTTCTTTCTTTTTCTATTTACTTTAACCAGAAAAATTAATTAATTCTCAAATCAAAAAAAAGTTAAGTAATATGTTGATTTAAATAAATTAAATCACAAGAAGTTAACAATGATGTCTGTATAATTTTTCTCTGTCTAAGAAAAAAAAATACAAATACACCTCTAAAAACTTCGCAAAACTGTTTCTCGAAGTAAACTGTCTGTATGAACTTTCACCGCCTCTATTTATACGAGATGCGAGTTTTGACAATGTATGCGCATGCGCATTGCTATATATGTAAGTACTTATTAGATGTCACTATAAACTACATATCGAATGGATTATTCAAAAGATAATTCAAAATCATTAACTGAATTTATAAAATTTAGAAAAAGAAACTATTTTAACTTCTGTAAAATATGAATTAGAATTTAGAATTCATATTCTTTTGCCAAATAACTAGTTGGTACATGTATTGATATTTATTGATCATCAAATGTTTTCATTTCTTTTATTAAATAAATTTGTTTCATAATACGTTCTTTCTAACTAAACTTTTCTTTTTCAGGTAATGATTTTATTTTCTCTATCTTTTTCGATTAAATAATTTTTTTTAAACAAGATAATATTTTTATTTATTTGCTTTTATAAAGCTAAATATATTATTATAGAAATATACAATATTAATTGTATATTGTATAAAGTTAATTGTATAATGTAATGTTAGTTTATAAAATTATGGTATGTCTAAAGTAATACTAATAGTAATAATAATAATAATTTTAAGGAAATTATAAATAAGAAATACTAATCAAATTAATTTTTATCAAATAATAATATTAAGTTAATTTAATTGAAATTTATTATTAACAAAAAAAAATTAATATCAAATATAAAAATAAAATTGTAAAATATTATTATTCAAAACTTTAAGTTTGAATATAAACTTTATTAAAATTTAATTCATTAAAATTTAACTGCATACTTATAATCAATGATAATTCATTTTTGGTTATTAATAAGATGATTGATTAATAAAATAAATTAATATTTATAAATGATTTAATTATTTCATTGTATTTTTTTTTGACATTTTGATGATTTATACTATGATAAAATTTGTATATTACTATAAACAAATATTTAAAAATATTATTTACATATAAAATTGGATATCATAGAATTCCAAAGTTGAATGAACTAAATTATTCCTATAATGATTTGTAAGTAAAGCCTGATACACATTATTTATATACATTGAACTTTATGTCATTTTGTCATGAACTACTACGAGTTTGTATAATGGCATACGTCACTAGATTTACATCTATATATAAAATAAACTATGGTTATGTACATATACATAATCATATATTCTTATTATCTTTATCGATATATATTGGAATTATATAAGTGAAGTTTATATAAATATTTATATAAATTTATATATAGGATATAAAACATATTCTATATAAATTGTAAACAGTTAGTAACAGTATTTCAGAAACTGCCTTTCTTTTTAATCAATATAAAGTGTATATTATAATACATGTACCATTGATATATATTAATTATATATTCTATAATAATATTATGATTTAAAAAAAAACGCAAAAATGAGACAACAAATAACTGATACAAAAATTAATTCTCACATATCTGGAGAAGCTGATGAATGTCTTTTCGAATATTTACATGCTGAAATGGTTAATTATGCTTTAAATAAATCGTGTAAAAATAAGGTAATTATATATTAATAAATTTTTTATATAATTCAATAATTTTATATAAATTAATAAAATGTATTTATTATATCTTATTATATCCTTTATTATTCAATATATTTTATTATGTGTTAATGTTTCTTATCTATTTTAAATAAAAAAAAACAATTTAAATCTTTTTTAAAATATTTTCTATAATAATGATTTTATTTTTTAAAAATATTTTATATAATATACAAATAAAGTAAAATCTTTCAATTATATTTAAATTATTAATATTATTGTTTTTAAATATTTTTATTTATTATGTGAACTATTTATTTCTATAAATTTATCATTCAATAGCTTTGCGAACTATTTTCTTCACTAATATACATTATCAATTGAAGAATAAAAATATTTTAATTTTACAAGAATACAATAGAAAATTAATGTTATTTTTTAATATGAATATATTTTTAAATTTTTAAAAATATGTAATAAAAATATTATTGATTAGAAAGAAGCAACTACAAATATTTCGTACAATGAAATTTTTTATAAATGTATAATAATTTTGAAGATAATAATAAATATAATAATAATATTATAATAAAATGTAATAATAGTAATATCTTTTTCTAATGAAAAAATTTATATTATATGCTTTTTAATAATATATAGAAATTACAATATAAAAAATGACAATATACTATGAACAATATATTAATATATAATAAAATTATTTTTCTGAACTACTAACTAAATGTTAATTTTTATTTTTATGAAATAATATATTTATGTTATAATGTTATTTATAATAAAATAACATTTTATTATAAATTTTTAAATTAAATTATTATTTAATTGAACTTATGTTTATATTTTAGAAATATAAAAATAATATAATATAAAAAATTATATTTAAAATGTACAATAATAAAATGAAAGTTGAAGTTATATTTAATATTTATCATATTTGTTATAATTGTTTTTATCATGTTTGTTATAATTAAACTGATTCTAAAATTTCAAAAATTATAAAAATTTATTTTAAAAATTGTGTTTTTAAATAAAATATTAATAATGTTACACTATAATTTTAATATCTATCTGTAATAATAATAATAATATTTAAAATATAAAGGAAGGAGAAGAAGAACTGTCTCGATTAGAATGGATGGGATTCAGTGTTGGTTACAGAATCATTGAACGATTGACACGAGAATGGAATCGATTTAAAGATGAATTGGATATGATAAAGTTTATCTGTACTGATTTTTGGTCAAGTCTTTATCATAAACAAATTGATAATTTAAGGACAAATCATCATGGTGTATATGTATTACAAGATAATTCATTTCGATTATTAAATAAAGTAGGTACTAATAGTAATAAACAATATTTACAAGAAAGTCCACGTTTATTAGCATTTACTTGTGGACTTTTAAGAGGAAGTTTGGCAAATCTTGGAATTATTAGTACTGTTAATGCAGAGATTTCTACATTACCAAGTTGTAAATTTCATGTACAAGTTCAAAGAATTTAATGTTAATAAATATGATACAAAATATATACAATAAAAATTAAAGCATATTACAAAATGATATAAAATCATATAATTAAGAATTTTATGAATAATTAGAAAAAAATTATAAAATTTTATATATACAATTATATTTTAATTTTATTCATTACTAATAATAATAAAATATGTTTTTCATATTAATTTTTGAAATAAAGTTTTAAAATTTTATTTAACTATAATATAAATAAATATTGACATAATAAATTGAGAAAACATTATCTGATTCTTTTTGAATTTTTTGTAACGAATTTTTTTTATTCAAATTAACATAAAATACAGGGAAAAAATAAATAAAAATATCAAAGTATTATCTTCATCTATATTGTATAAGACATTATATTTATTAGTTAAGTAAAAATAATTAATTAAAAATTTACATGTATTTGAAAAATTTTTAATTGAAATTTCACAAGCATTCAATATTCATAAAAAAAGAAAATTCGATCACTCAAATTAAAATTTGAAATAAAAAAGATGTGTTTTCTGAGACATTTCAAATTGCATTTTCTGAAATATTATATATATGTGTTTTATTTAAATTTTATTTAAGTATAAAATTAAATTATATATTAATATAAAATTATATATTTATATAATCTAAAAATATATACAAGTAATTATTTAATAATTTTGATTTTTTTGGAATATTTGTTTTAAACATTTATAAATTAAATGCATTATTAGATTTTTATTCATATAAGTTTTTAGATAGGTTCAATTTTCGTTTTTAATTAAAAATTAAGTATAATAAAAAAAAAAATTGAGAAATATAATAATTAGTTGCAATAATTTTAAAAGCATTTTAACAATTAAATTAATGTTTAAGATTTAATTTATTAAATAATTATTAGATGTACCATTTTTGGTTATAAATTGCAAAATATGAAATTGATTTATAATTCCAATAAAAGCATCATCATATTCATCATCTAAAATTATCGCATATGGTTCTTTTTCAAGAATACGTGATATATAACCAAGAGTTGCTGAATGTTTAACTTTAACATATTGTTTAACCATAGCTTTATCTACAAAATCTGTACATTTTACTATACCAGATATAACATATGATGTAAGTTTGTTCAAACTAATAACACCTTTTATATGTATATTATCATCACTAATAACTAATAATTGTGAATCTGCATTTTTGAGCATATGCATAGCTTCTTGACATGTTACTGTATTTTCCTTTAACAATGATTGTTTATCAAAAGATAAATTTGAAATTTTCATATTCCACCACCATTTATTCATTTCATTTTGACATACAGGTTGCTGTAAATTATTCAATAATTCATTATTCAAATTTATAAAAAAAGAATTTTTAAATAAAAATAAGTAATTTACCAAAAATCCTCTAGTTTCCATCCAATAGTCTGATACAAATTTAGTTAAATAGTTTCGTATTCCATCAGGTAAAACAATTACCATACGTTTTTCTTCAGGAATATCTTTAGCTATTTTAAGAGCAGCTATAAGAGCAGCACCACTACTACCACCACAAAGTAAACCTTCTTGGCGTATAAGCATTCTAGCAGCATTTAATGATTCATTATCTTCAGTCTTTATCCATTTATCAATTACATTACGATCTAACACTGTAGGTATAAAATCATAACTAAAAATAATTGATCATTTAAAATAAAAAATAAAATTGCATACAATATTAGTAAATAGAATAGATAAAAAAATATCACACCCAATTCCTTCTACTTCATAAAAGCCAACTTCGTTTTGTGATTCAATTGATGGATCTAAAATACTTCCTTTAGGATCCACAGCAATAATTTTTATATTTGGTGATAATTCTTTCAATTTTCGTCCAATACCTGAAATGGTACCACCTGTACCAGCACCAGCTATCAAATAATCTATTTTACCTTCACACTGTTTCCAAATTTCATTTGCAGTTTGATCATAATGAGCCAATGGATTTCCAGGATTAGTATACTAAACATATAATACAAATAAAAAACAATTAAAATAAAACTATGCAATATTTAATAATATAATAATAGTACCTGATCAAGAATAATACTATTTGGTATTTCTTTTTGTAATTTTTGAGCAACACTGATATGTGCTTCTGGACTATGCCAAGTTGCTTCAGTTGGAGTTCGTACAATTTCAGCACCAAGTGCATAAAGTGTTGATACTTTTTCATCAGACATTTTTTCTGGCATAACAATAATGCATTTATATCCTCTCACTGCAGCAGCCATTGCTAATCCAATTCCAGTATTACCACTTGTCGGTTCAATAATGGTACATCCTGGTTTCAACAAACCTTTATCTTCTGCATCTTGAATCATTCTATATGCAATTCTATCTTTCACAGAACCACCAGGATTAAGGAATTCACATTTTGCATCTAAAAATAAAATTATATTTATAAAAAAAACTTTATAAATAGCATAATAAATTAACAAAATTAATACTAACATATTTCACATTTTATACCATAAGATTTAGGAATATTATTTAATTTTATGAGTGGTGTTTGTCCAATAGCAGTTAAAATATCAGGCATTATCTTAGTACAATCACCATTTCTGAAATCATATTAAACCATATTAATGAAATATAATAAAAAAAGTCTATAATAAATTTAAACTTAAAAAATAAAGAAATAAATTAAATTTTCTAATATAATTAGGAATTTAAGAATATAAAAACTAATTAAAAGATAAGTATATTTGTAGCAAAAATGTAATTTGTTTTAAGTTTTTCATCAATTATATAGATTTTTATATAAAATAAAATATCAAATTAAATTTATTTATATAAATGAAATTAAAATTATTATAATAATAAAATGAATTATAAAATATATTATTTTATTATAATATATATATTATTTTATAATAAAATTATAAAATAATTTTATAATTCAAACTATTTTAAAAAACTTCTTATAATCTTAATAATAAACAATATTTTAAATATTAAATAAATTCACATTGTATAATATACATACAATTTTTTATATGATATATTATTGAATTTCCAACATTTTTATATTAATTAATTATTAAAATTAATATAATTATATAATAATTTATGAAAATATTATAAATAAGAACATTATTATATATATTATATATATTTATATGTATTAATTTTTATATATTTATTATTTTTATCATAAAATAATATATATATATATAATTTGAACAACAATAAATTTAAAATTTAAAATTTTTTATTTTTAAAACAAAATCATATTTTTATTTCAGATCTTAAGTTTTTTTATAAATTTAAGAAATATTATTTAAAGAAAAATATAAATACTTACATAATAAAAAAAATATTTTATATTAAGTTTAAATAATATATTAAAATTTAAAATAATTTTTAAAAATATTGAAAATAATTTAAAAATACTGGAAATTTTTGTTTTATTATTTTATTTATTAAGTTATTATTAAATCTCATTAATAAATATTCTTATTATATAAACTTACTCTGTTCTACATGTATGTGGTGAATTTGTTGCATTTAATTCCCATGTACAATAACTAGGTCGATTAGGTTGTTTAAATTCCATAATTAAGATTTAAATTATAATTAAATTCTTCAAACTTATTAAAAATAAATAATAAAAGTAAATTTTAAACTTTTTTTCAATAGCTTTAATAATTCAAATATTATATTAAATTCTTCAACTTTATGTTGATTTCAAGATTGAGGAAAGGAAACTGCTTGTTTCATGCTACGTAACTTTTGAAATAGTGTTCGATCACATAATGATGTAATAATTAAGATAAATAATAGAAAATAATTATGACTTCATATGTCTCTTTTGACTAATACATATTTATCATACAATACATAAAATATGATAATTTTTAAAATATGAAAATAAAACGACTATTAACTAATAAATTAATGAAATTGAAGTTTTCATGAAAACTATTGTATTATGAATATTGCATTGAAAACATTCCATTTAAATTTAAATCTAGCATTATTTCTTATTACAATCAACTAGCATATATATGATTTTATCAAGAAGTTTTGTTTCTTGATAATATAACTATCACTATTATTTTATTTAATATAAATTGCATATACAAATATTAATTAAAAAGAAGATATAAATATTTACATTTATAAGATTTATTTTTCTATTTTTAAAATAATTAAAAGTAATATTTTTTATTATTATTTTTGTATATCAAAGCAAGTTTTATATTACTTTTATATTGATAGTTTAGATATTCTATTATTATATCTATTTTTCTATTAGATGTTTATGATATTATATTCATATTAATTTCTTGAATTTTTTTTCTATATTTCGAAGCAAAAAAAATGATATACTATTTCAATATGGTGGATCCTTTTTGAAGTGCTCAGTATTTTTTATTTCATTTTAAACAGTGATATGCATTGATAAAGATTTTGAATGATAAGAAAGCGTGAATTTAATGATTAGAAAAAAGCTTCATAATAATATAAGACTACATAAATGACAATGATTGATGTATGTTATTTGAAATGACTTGTCATTTCCTTAACGATTATATAGTTCGTGAAAATTACACATATGTTGTGTTTCCAAAATGTATTAACAATAAAGATAGTGCATTATATTATTAGTAATTATTATCGAACATTAATTGTAATGCTATTATGCTTTAATGTAAATTATTGTATTCTATTCTAAAATTGTGACAAGTTCATAGATTCAGTAAACAAAATTTATAAGTACGCTATATAATTATTATGTACTTTGAAGTAGAATCTATTCAAAAATATCCAACCGTAACCATGTACGTAGTTTTATAATAAATTTTATCATTATTTTAATAATGATTTTATTTTTGATTTTTTTATTATCCATTTATTTATTGTTTATTCATATTTAATTTTTAACTTAATTTTTTTTAATAATTTATATGTTAATTTAATAGGAACAAATCAGTGGAAGATTTATTGATATCTAGTCGTGAAGTTATGACTAATGTAAATTCTACTGGATTTGAAAATCAGAATCCAACAATGAATATAGGAAATGGTATATCAGATAATATTCAAGAAACAATTACTGGAGGAAATGGAGAAAAAGGTAGTCCAGTTTCAAGTCCAAATTTATCTCCACGCCCTAGTCCAAAAGTTCGTAATAAACGAGATCATTCCAAATTAAATCATGATTTAAATACCAAAGAATCTAATAGTATGAACAAATTGGATGAACATCAATTACATGTAAGATTTTAACACTAAAATATTTTTTATTATATCTATTTATTGATATCCAAAATTTCTTTTATTATAATATTATTAATTTAATTTTAAAAATATGATATAGCAACAACAAGATATAACAAACAAATCATCAGATTCTTCTCAAGTTATAAAAAGTTCACATGAAGGAAAAAAAGAAACACGAAGCAGTGAACGAAATAAAAAAAAATCTTGGTATCATGTTTTATATCCAACTTATAAATCTAGATCTGATGATTTTAAGAGAATATTTAAAGATGTACCAGATGATGAAAGATTAGTTGTTGGTAAATAATGGTTTTTATATTCATTTAAATAATTTAAATATTAATATAATATTAATAATTAATTATTATTGTCATTTTTATAATATATTAATTATATTATATAATTTTTAGATTATTCATGTGCATTGCAACGTGAAATATTAGTTCATGGAAGACTCTATGTATCTCAAAATTATGTATGCTTTTATGCAAACATTTTTAGTTGGGAAACTTTAGTATGTTTACGTTGGAAGGATGTTACATCTATTACTAAAGAAAAAACTGCACTTGTAATTCCTAATGCAATTTTAATATGCACTGCCACTGATAAATTTTTTTTGACATCTTTTGGTGCAAGGGATAAAACATATGTAATGTTATTTCGTGTATGGCAAAATGCACTTATTGGTGAGGTATGAAATTTAAATATTTTTATAATATTAAAATATATTTAAAAATGTTATAAATATATATTTAAATTGATTGATTTTTATATAAAATAATTTAAAATTTAAAATGTAAAAATTCATTAATTATATATAAAATTTATTTGTCATACTATTTTTCAATTTATATTATTCTTATATCATTTATATTATTATTTATGTTATTTCTATATAACATAGAGAATAATTAGAATTTATTTGATATTGTATCCAAATTCTGTTTAAATATGTTAAAATATGTTAAAATAATAAATTGGATATTTTATTATTTAGCCAATGAATGCACCTGAATTATGGCAACTTGTACATTCTTGTTATGGAGATGAATTAGGTTTAACTTCAGATGATGAAGATTATGTTCCACCATTACCTCCAGCTGATGAAGAGAAGCTATCTACAAGATTATCTGTAGAATCATTTTCTGAGGTAATTTATTGATTGTATTAGAAACTAATAGAACTATGATAAATTTTTTATCAATATATATAATTTTTAATTAATACACTTTTACTTTTTGATATTTTATATAAACTGTAATTATACTTTTTATATTTTATATTTTATATTTTATGAATTAAAGGTAGAAAGTGGTAACATAGAACATTCAATAACTGAAGCACCAGATACAATTGAATCAAAGGCAGAAGTACATCATTTACCTCGACCAGATCCTACTATTGATGCAACGGATTTAAGTGATACAACAGAAAGTGAAGCTGAAAAACATGCATGTAAGTTTTGATAATAATACCTTTTGTTATACTTTTTCTTAAAATTATTATATAAATATAATTATTATATAATTATTATTATAGAAGAATTACATAGAATTTAATTATTTCATTATTTTATAATATCATTAAGACACACAAGATACATAACATATAATATTTAAAAGATAAAAAAATTTACATTATACATTGACACTTATATTGATATAATTTATTTATAGTTGATTTTGTCAATATTTAGAAAAATTTAAAAATAAATAATTTAAAATGTTTTATGTTTTTATAAACTAATTATTATTTAAAACATAATAATTATAATAATTACACAATAAGTTTTATTATTTATAATATAATATATATATTTTTTATATCATATTTAAATATATTAAAAAATTATTAGAAAAAAAATTTAAAAAATATAAAAAAGAAACCTAAAACATTTATTTGAATATTTTATTACCTTTATATTCTTATACAAATATAACAATATATTTTGTTGAATAATATAATATATAATAAAATTATTTATGTATTCTTTCTAATTTAGCAATATTATAAATGTTTTAGGTACTAAAATTAAATGGATGTGTGGAATACTTCAGAAATAAATAATCAAACATTAGGAATATGTTCTACTCACCTTGAAAATGAACAAAATCACATTAGGATAGGTCCAAAAACATATCTCAAAGATATAAACATACTTTGTTAATGATGGAATTTAGAGAATATCTGTTAAGTATAAAGTTAGTACTGTCACTTTTTTTTGTAAGAGTAAATAATATTGTTTTTAATTGGATAAATTGAAATGACAATATATGTTTACGCTTATGATTTATTCATAATAGCATCAATTTTCTTATTCAATTAATTTTTTTACTTATTCTTAACACTTTCCGTGCCGGATTTTTGATGATTTTCCTTTCAGATTATATGATTCTCATTATCACGATTTATAGTTTTTTCTGAAATATTTGCTTTATAAATAAAATATTTAAAATTATTGCAAAAATTATAATTATCAAGAAAAAAATATAATATATTACATTACTTGTATTAAGTTTACATATATTAAATTTAAGATGAAAAAAAATATATGATTTTACAAAAAATTTTTTCAAAGATTTCTATTTTACAGGAAAAATTTTAAGCGTTTTAAACGAAAAGTTCAACGTGAAACAAAACACGCGGCACGAAATGTGTTATTAACAGTAATTATAAACAATTTTTAAAAATAAAATTTCTTATTCTTTCGATATTTTATTAAAGAAATAATAGTTACATAAAATTTATATGTTAAGAATTTTTAATCATATAGATTAATTCAAGAAAAAATAATTTTTATAATTTATATATATAATATGTATCTAATTGATTTTAATATTATTTATTATTCATTTCTAATTATTATTTTTATATATTATAAAACATCTTACGAATTTTTAGATATTTATGACACTTCATAAAATTTTTATATGAAATATATCTTGTTATAAGAAAAAAATTTTCAATAATTATTATAACAGATTATTTGTATTCTATAAGAATTCTATTAAAATTTTGAATAAAAATATTTTAATTATCTAATATTACATTTTGTTATGCAGTTAATGTTATATGTTAATTTTTATATGCAGTTAATAATAATTAAATTAAAAATAAATTTAAAAATATTTTGCATATTATTATATGAATATTTATATTATTATGATTGCAGTAAAATTAAGTGTTCGGGGCACTGTAATATGTACTTCATCACATGAAGGTCGTCAAATAGGCAAAGCTACATTTCCTATTCATATTGATCAACTATTTACCTTGCTATTTACAAATTCAAAATTCTTTCTTGATTTTCAAACTGCTCGCAAAACTACTGGTAAGATAAGAATTATTTACATATTCAATTATAAACAAAATTTATGAAAGTAATACAATTAGAACAAATGAAAATATATTTATATATTTTATTAATAAAAAATGTTAAGAAATTATTTCATTAAATGATTTATTTATTTTTATTTATTTAGATTTAGTACAATCAGCATGGACCCAAAATGAACAAACTGGTCAGAAAGTTAGAAATTTATCATTTACAATAGCATTATCTCAAGCTATTGGACCAAGAACTTCTAATATATCAGAAACTCAGGTATTATTACTTTTATGAAACTATTATTAATATTATTAATATAATATTATATTATACTATTATTAATATAATATATATTTTATGAAACTATTATTAAAATTTATTAAATCATTCTATAAATATCTTGATTTTATTTGTATAATTTTAATTTATAATTTTATGATTTATTTTTAGATAATGTTACCATGTAGTAGACCAGGTTATTTATATAGTATTGATGTAGAAAGTGTAAATGCTGGAATTCCATATGCAGATTCTTTTTCCGTTTTAATTCATTATTGTATTACTAGTATTTCTGAAAATGAAACAAATATGGCAATTTATGCTCAAATAAAGTACAAAAAAAATGTATGGGGTTTTGTAAAAAGTAAGAATTTATGATACAAATTTTTTTTTTTTACCTTTATAAGTAATAATTATATATTTTAAAAAATAATAGGTGTTATTGAAAAGAATTGTTGGGCTGGAATGGATGAATATTTTACAAGTTTAATAAAAGCATTAACTATAGAATGTGAAGAAAATAACGGAAGTGGAGGAGTAAAAAGAAAAACAAGAAGAAGACGTCGTGCTACAGGTCCTGGTATTTCTTTACAAACTCATACTTCAGATCACACATCTTCCACTCTACAAAATTCTTTAAATTTGCCACATATTAATGATAATACTGGTATGATATTAATGGTATAATAATCTATTATAATACAACTAAATAAATTTAATAATTTTATAAAAAATTAATAGTGCTTACAATTTAAAACTTTTATACACAAATACAAATTTTTATGTACAGTTTCTGCTGCACGAGGTGATTCTAATATGATAATTAGTTCAATGCTTTTGATTGCTGTCTTATGTTTAATGGTAATTAATGGTTTATTATATTATAAATTATGGGGTTTAGAAGAAGCTGCAGCCTATACTATTATGGATTTACATGTATTAAAGTATGTAAAAATGTCTTATATTTAATATGATTTAATATTAATATTTAATATATATTGTTTATTATATAGAAATACACCAAAAACTGAAGAAGATTGGATTCATTTATTACAACAGCAAGAAAGTTTACATAACATAGAAATGAGAAAATGGCAAAGAGTATTGCATACTGCTGCACAATTGCTTAGACAAGTAAAATATTCATTTTATTTTTAGAGAATTATACTGCATTTATTAATTATTATTTACATTTATTAATTATAATTTTTTAAATTTTAAAGACAGAAGAATCATTAACAGAATTACAAATGAGTATTCATCCTACTGCAACAGAAAAAATGTTTTCCGTGTTAAAACCAAGTTTAAAAAGCTATAATTCTCATACAGAACAGCGAAGTCATTCAGAAATATAAAAAAAAGGAATATGTAAAAATATTCTGACAAAAATAACGTAAGTATTATAATGCTATAATTCTGTAAAAATCAATTTTAGTAAACTTTAAATATTTGATAAGAAAAATATACTTATTATTACATATAACTTATAATTAGATATACAAGTGCGCTGTGATGATGATGATGATGATGATTATCTATAATTCCAAATGCACAATAATATGTATCTAAATTCAAACTATTTATGATTGATAGAAAATGCAATTTAAATTTGTTCCTTTTTATTACTTTAATGTTTATAAAATATGTTGTGTGAAATTTTTTGCACATAGAATATTATGATAAGTTACATTGTTGTATAATATATTTCTGTACTACATACATTCAAATATATATAAATATAAATATATGAATATTTATATTTATATGTTTTTGTATATGAATAAAAGTTGTATATTAGCACATTACAATGTAAAGGAAAAGAATAAATCATTTTTAGAGCATTATTGTTTTAAAAATATATATTTTCATTTTAATAAAAATATGTATATTTTATATGATTTGAAATAATATAATTGTGAATATATACATTATATAAATTATATATAATGTAATCATAATACATAGAAATATGCAAAATCATCTTGTGCCTTAAAATTCCATTTTTTAAGATGGACTGAAAAATTTGAACAGAAACCCTGAAAATTTTAATATCTCATCCGTTTTAATTCATAATTTTTTTCGATAGGATCAATAATAATATGAATATATAAATAATTAAAAAAATAAAAAAGCTTCGTGTTTATGAAATTTCTTTAATTAAGTAAAATTACATGTTTTTAATTTACTTATCTTCCGGTTTGTTAAATACAAGAGTATAACCGCATTTGCCACAATAATGACGATCTTCCATTGCAGCCATAAAAACTCCCGCACCACATTGTTCCATGGGACATTCCCTTCTTAATCGATGAATTTTTCCATTTTCATCTACCTGTTTAACATTGAACAAAAATGTTTTACATAATAAAATTGCAATAACAAATTAAATAAAAATTTTTTTTATTAAAATTAATTTTTATTAAAATCTGTTTAAATTTAAATTGATAGAATCTAATAGAAAAATAATATTTATAGATGTAAAAGTTATTTTCAAAATATTTCAAATCTTGGTTTATATTCATCTCATTTTTAATTAAGTTACGATTTTTTTTTATAATTCAAATTATAATTACATTATGCAATTATAATGCATTATAATTACATTATTAAATTGTTAAATTAAAATAAAAAGATGATTAAAATGAAAATGATTATTTAAATACCTTATAAAATTTGAGTACAGCAAGCTTAACCTTCTTCTTCTTATGTTTGATTTTTTTTGGAGTTGAATAATTCTTCTTCTTGCGTTTTTTAGCACCACCCCTTAAACGTAGTACCAAATGTAATGTAGATTCCTTCTGAATATTATAATCTGAAAGTGTCCTACCATCTTCCAATTGTTTTCCAGCAAAAATTAATCTTTGTTGACCAGGTGGAATTCCTAAAATTCAAACTCAAATATTTAAGAAATTAATATTTAATATAATATGTATTTTATATATTACCTTCTTTATCTTGAATTTTTGCTTTAACATTTTCAATAGTATCTGATGCTTCAACTTCAAGAGTAATAGTTTTGCCAGTTAGAGTCTTCACAAATATCTGCATGGTGAATCTAAACAAACAATACAGGAAATTTATTTATTGTTTATGGTTTAAAATTTTTATAATCATTTATATAATTTATTTATATAATTTTTATATAATTTATTATACAATATTATTAAAAGTAAAAATATTTAAGTAAATAATAACAAATTATGTTTATTATATTATTTATTAATTATATTTATAATATTTATTACACATCATACAAATCACAATATAATTATTTAATAAAAATACTTTATACAAGTAATATGGCATTAATGCAACCATCATTTTCAGGATTATTTGTAACTTGAGCATATTTTCCCCAAACCACTTTTCCTGATTGAGTTACAAGACCTAATTCTGAAATATTTATTTCAATAATTGTTCCTTTGGTAATAACACCTAAATTTGTATACATTGGTGAACTTGGATTTTTTTTTACTCCAATAATTGGCAAACAGAATGTAGCTTTTAATTCAGGATGAGTTACATGTGCCTTTTTAAAACGTAACGCCATTGGTCTAATAAATCTTTCAAATTTAGGTGGTTTCCTGGTAAAATTTTCACTAACAAATGTTACTTTTGTTACCATTCTTTTCCAAGATTTACGTTTAGATTTTCCACTTCTCATTACTTTAAACACTTCAGATTCTGATTGTGTTTTAACTTTAGGTATTGGTACATCCCATTTTCCAGCTTTTTCTTTACGTTTTTGTTTTATCATATTTGATAATATTTTAGCATCTTTTTTAATATCACGATCTAATAGGTATACTGGTAATGCTCCTTCTGGTATGTTATTTGATTTTTCTTTTACTTTCTTTTCCATATGACATTTTATTTTCTTTTTCATTTGAATCTTTTCATTTCTTCGTTCTTTATTAAAAATCTTTGCTTTTATACCACGTAAAGTACGAGCACGTTCTGCTCGTTTATGTGGTTCACGAGCTTCCTTTTTTCTTTTCCTTTCTTCATAATCTAAACGTCGTCCATATAGTTTACGATGTCTTTCAATATATTCGTTTTGAGGCATGTTGAATGTTGATTATTCTTTCTTTACAAATTATCTGCAAAGTAAATTTTCTTTTCTTTTTTCAAAAATTTTTAATCTTTATAAAGATTTTTAAGAATTAAATCTTTTAGATTCAAAAAAATTTTAATTCTAAATATATTTATATTTAATGAAATTTATCTTACAAATATAATTATATTTATATTTCAATACTATATTATCAATACTGTATTATCTTAATGTTTTATAAGTTTGTTAGTAATAAATAAAAGTAACGAGAATAATCAAATATGAATTTAATTTATATTTGCGTTTTATATGTATGTGCATTGAGAAATCACTATATATTTAAAACATTTATGATACTTTAAAAACAGTTCTTATATTTTATATAATTTATATTTTATATTTTTATGAGATAAATAACCATATTTTATTAATTCTTAATATAAAGTATCATTTTTTAGACATACACAACCACGTTTATTATATGTACCATGTGTATTATTTTTATTCATATTATACATATTAAAATATTATGATTATAAATATAAAGATTTAAAACAAAAATTTATAAAAATTATCAATTATCAATCAAAAAAAAATATCAAAATAATTGCAATTTATTAATAATTTTAAACATTTTATTAATTTAACTTACCTTCACTCACGCCATGTACATATAAGAAGAAATTATAAGAACGGACAATCTATTGTTAAAAAAGAAACAGCGTCATCTATGTTATGCAAACTTAAGTTTCTCATACTAACTAGTAATATAATTCTTTACTTAAAAATATATTTTGTAAAAACATATTTTATATTTCATTAACAAATATTTAAATTCTAATTTTAATTACTTTTTCATAAAATCAATTTATATTGATAATGATACAGAATATAATATTTTTTAAAACTAATTGATTATTTAAAAATTTCGGTAAACGATAAATGAAAATATATGATAGTGATATGATTTTGGTTGTGAATATGTTTATTTCTATGAATTAGTTCTATCAGAATCAACCAATTAGACTCATCTACCTAGCCCATAAATTGTTTTTGTACATATAATAAAAATAGAGATTTGAAATAGATTCATAACTTATATCTACAATATATACAATAGAATCGTATTTTAAGAAGTTTTGGTTCTAAGATTTTTCGCGATTATTGTTGCAAATCCTATTATATATATGTATTATATATTTATGCTAATATTTTATTTATTAAATATAATTGCACATTAATTAATTATTAAATTATCAAATTTGCAGCATTATACAACTTATTATAAATAAATTATATATTTGAAATTTTCAAAAGGTGATCGATGGATATAAAATACGAGAAATAATTAATTACCTCAAGTTATAACTACATATAGCTTATGTGATTAAAGTATTATATCTATTATATGTTATAATTTTCTAAAAATACTTTATAAATTTATCATTTATTATTAAAAATATATATGTATTTTATATGTCTTGTAAAATATTTTTGTTTAAAATTATGTTATATTGAAGTATATTTATTATCTTTTAAATATTAAATAACATCAAAATCAAAAATATTAATAAAATAAAAAAAAACTAAACTTATTAAGCTTTTCCATCAATTATTAATAAGTTTTTATTAGTTATTAAATTAATACTAAATAATTTTGTACATATTACATATTAACATATTAATTAACAAACAATTAATAATTTTAAAAATAATCTATATAATAAATTAGTAAAAAAAATAATATAAAATTAGAAATTATGAAATGTATATATTAATAAATTTCAATTATACAATATTAATATTTTCAAATATTTTTTTATTTTTCTTTATTTAATAAACAAAAAAAAATAAATACATAAAAATAAATTGTTTATTGCACTTTATTTAAATACATAATATAAATATTAATTAGATATTTTCAAAATATTCAAAGTTCATTAATACAAATTATTTCTATATCATAGATTATATAAAAATAATGAGTTTGTTTCTAAATATATATTATTTTTATTGTTTCACATACATATTTAATTCAGAAAATAAAAATGATATTAATATTTGTATTAATCCTTCTTGTAATGAAGTATCATTAGGTATAGAAAATACAAAATCTTTAAGTTTCTTAATATGTTTTGAATTAAGAAAATCAATTATTAATTTTGCTAATTTTCTTCTTTGTTCCGGAGTAGTTTCATTCCAAACAATATATGGAACAGATTTAAATTCATTTTGTGCAACCCAAGTTGCTATAAGACTGCTGAGTATACCTCCTAAAAATAAATTATTTTTATATTGCATAAATCTTATATTTAACTTGAATATACGAAAATGAAATTTAAGAATAATACAAATCAATCATAATTAATATAAAAAATAACCACCTACTGATAATCCAATAGGTCCACCAACTATACCACCAGCAATTGTTGATAAACCGACAATTGTTCCATATTTGACAGAAGATTGTACCGAAACTTTCAAATTTTTTACAACATCAAGTTTTAAAACTTCTTCTAATAAATTATTTGTTGAGAAATCCATTATTAATTCATTTGTATGAAACAGAAAATTAAGCAAATTTAAATATTTAATTCTTCACATTATTTATTACACTATTTCAAATGTTACATAATGAATAAACCTTTTATATACTGTACATATATCTACGAAATGTGATAATAAAATATGTAAGAATAGTAAATCAATTGCGGGAATTCTAATTTGAAATATTTATTTGACAAAATGAATTATTGGATATGAATATAACCAAACCAATGTGATCAACTTTTAGGGAAAACAAAGCTGATAATATTATTTCACCAAAAAATATAGGGTTTTTGACAATCTTAATTTAAAGTAATTTGCATCTAAAAAATAATTTTGGAGTTAAATTTTTTTTTATTTTTCCAATAAAATCATGTATAATTGCTTTACTCAAGTAAATTGTAGTTTTACTCAAAACGATAAAAAAGATAGGAAATCTAATTTTGATACCATTTTAGAACAAAAATGGATAGAAGCTCAAAAAAATAAAATATGTCGTTATGTATTAAACATTAAAGAATCAAAAATATTAAAAGGCAAATATCATTTTTTAATCCAGGTAATATTTAAAATTATTTAATTATTAATTACTAAAAGAAAAATATGATATTGATGATTTGATTTTCAAATATATTAATTGCTTCCATTCAAAAAATACCATCAAATATACAAAATTTCAAGAATTTACATTTATGAAAAATTTAAATTAACTTAATAATTTTTTTTGGAATGAATATATTAATCATTTTTTTTAAATAATTAAATCATTAAAATTATGAAATTATTATTCTCATATATTCATTTTATAAAGTTTGAAATATTCTAAACAAAAGAATAAAATGAATACTTATTATAATTTATTATATTTTTATTATATGAATTAGATGAAATAGATTCACTTATTATAACATGAATTTCAATTATTCAATTAAATTTCTATTATCAATAATCTAATTATTTGCATTATTTTATTTTTTAATAAAATAATTTTATAATAAAAAGAAAATTTATTATTGAATTTTTTTAATAATTTCAGCTTAATACTGATCGTGGTTATAAAAGAAGATCTCCAGAGGATATAATATCAATGAAACAACCATTCAATAACAAACAATTTAATTTTACAAAAATTAAACCAGAAGAACAAATAATGAATTTAGGTAGTATAGATAAAGATGATGTAATTGCAATTAATGTTAGTCCAATTGAATATTGCCATTCTTTATTATTGCCACAAAGAAATAAACAATTACCTCAAATTATAACTAAATATAGCTTATTTAAAGCTATTGAATTATTTTCATTAAGTTCTTCATTGTAAGTATATTAGAAATTTTGAAGTGAGACAAAAAATATCAAATTTTTAATTAAAATTAAAATTTTAAATTAAATATCAAATTTATGAATAATAGGGATAAAATATATTATCTTAAAATTTATTCAAATTGACAAAAGAATTTTCAAATTATGTATCTTCTAATGATAATGTACATTATAAAATATTATAAACACTAGTGTGTTTCTAAACTTTCTCTAAATTTTGACTATATTTTTTGCCATTTTGATTTATTTTAATTCTTGTTAAAGTTAATATATATTAATATTATATTAATAATTGAATAAATATTTAATTATATATATATATGTATATCATTTTTTTAGATATCTCAGAATGGCTTTTAATAGTCTTTGTGCATATGCATCTGTAAATCATCTTCATTGGCATCTTTATTATTTGAAATGGAGAATGTTATTGGAATACATTGTAAATAGATTTATATATTTTTTTTTCTATATTTCGTTAATGCTTAAAAAACAGAATATAGGAATTTATCCATTGTTCAGTTTAGTTTTTTGATCTTAAATATTTCTTTTTTAAATTTTTCAATTTTTTTTTCTACTATTATATTAATTTTATAAAGAGTATCAGTTTTCTACTTGTAGTTTTTGTATTTATTTATTTAAAAACTTCAAAGAATATGATATAATATGTATTTTTTACATGTTCAATAAATATAATTATACAGTATTTCAATTATAATTAAACACTCTATCAGTATTTTTAATATATATTATATTATTTTAAATATAATTTCTTTAACATATTAAAATCAATTTTAAACATCAATTTTAATTGATTGTTATTAATATTTTTCAGGATCTCAAAGAATATATAGGACCTGTACAAATATTAGAAAAATATCCAGCAAAGGCATTTTGTGTAAAATATTCTAATGTTCAGAATATAGATGATTTTGTTAATTGGGCATTTTTAATAATAAATTATTTACAAAATGCACAAATAGCACATAATGTTTATATTACAAGAGCAAAATTAAATTGTACAGAAGAATATAAAGATTTACGGATTTATATTTGGAGTAGGAAATCAAGTGAAGGTACAAAAAATATTAATGCCTTTAATCCAGCAGCTTGTGAACTCTTTGGACATTTATTATTAAAATGTAAGTAATATTTTAAAATTATTTTACAAAAAACTTTATTAATATATAAGATATGTACAGATTCTAATTCAAAAATACAGAATTTATCTATACTAGCATATAACAAAACATTTCTTTCCTAGCATTTTATTTAAATTGTATTTGAATAATTTAATATTATATTTAATTATAATTAAATATCTTTTTTTTATATCTGTTTCAGCTGAAGAAACATATAAGAACATTTCTGAGGAATATGTGATAAATATTTTACAAAATATAACTGAAGAAACATTCTATTCAGTTTTTTCTGAAATAAAAAATTTAATAAAATGTCAAATAAAATAAATTTTTAATTATATTGAATGAATTGAAAATTCAATTACTGTCTCACTTCTTCAATTTGTTTATTTTATTAGAAAATTTATTTTTTATATCATCATTTTTCTTTAAATTTTAATAACATTTATATTATTTAAAAGTTGATTTAATTTCCTATATCTTATGTTATTACTTTTTTATATATAAACAAAATCACATATATACACACGTATAAATAAAATAGAATGCTTAAACTACAGATATTACATTATCTACAGTTTGTATATTAGGGAACCTACCGCGATGTGTAAGTTACTTTGATATTTTCAGAGTACTCTCTATATAAGATAAATTCCAAAAATCCCATATTACGCGTTTCCTTTCTTGAATCTCGGGAGTTCTTAAAAGATTTTTTCCACATACAAAAAAAAAATACTGCAATGGTATGTGTACTTTTTTTTGTAATACATATGTTCTAATTCTAACCTTAATATTTTATAAATAACAAATTTAGCAAGTTTTTTATTTTCTAAAATAAATTTTTTAATAAATTATAATAAATTACGTAATAATTATATATAAAAAAATATATAAATTATATATTAAATATTTAATTATTTTCAATAATTTCTATTCAGATACTTTATAACACATTCATTCATAAATTTGAAAAAAATTGATTGCATATATATACTTCTACAATTAAATAGCAAAGAATGCAAAGATACAAGCAATTAGATTGAATTAGATAATACAAGTTATATAAAACATTGCTAATTGATATAATTTATATAAAATGATGCTACAAGTTATATATTACATATTTATAACTTTTTATATCCTATATTTAACATTACAATATTATTCAATTCATATTTTTTTGCATAAGATTTATGATAATTTTATCTATATCTTTTAAAATATTTATAACTAAATTTATAAAAATTTATAAAAAATTAATTGTTAATTATGTCTTTATTCTAATATATGTAATACAAAATATGACAATTGATAAATTCAAATCTGATTAAAATCTAATATTTTCTCTTAAATATGATGAATTTATTTTCAATTTTGTATTGTACATAAAACTATATTATAAATTAAATTTTGTGTGTATATGCGTGCGTGCGCGCGTGTGTGTGTATATATATGTAATAAAATATTATCTTAAATACATTAATCTAGTCTTAATTTAGAATAATTTTGTTAATACATAATTGCCTGTGATATATTTATATTAATCCAAAAAAATAAATAATTTAATAAATTAATTATTTTAATTTGAATTGTTGCAGTTACATCATAAAAATGTATACAATATATTATATTTATATTTGTATTTGTCTGATAATCATTGGGAGAATATATTTTGTAATATTTTATACATATAAAATGAAAGAGAAAAAAAAATCAATTCGAAATAATCCAGCTAAAATAATGATAATATTAGGGTCTGGTGGACATACTGCAGAAATGATAAGAATCCTTAAGTATTTAAACTTCAAAAATTATTCACCAAGAATATATGTACATGCTGATACAGATTTAATGAGCATTGAGAAAGTTAAATACTTAGAAGAAGATAACAAAGATTATAAAATTATTAAAATTCGTAGAAGCAGAGAAATTCATCAATCATATTATACATCTATTTATACTACTATTTATGCAATTCTTGAGTCAATTCCTCATTTATGGAGAGAATGTCCAGAATTACTTTTATGTAATGGTCCAGGCACTTGTGTTCCTTTGTGTATAATAGCATTTTTATTTAAAGTTTTGTATATTACACAAACTACTATAATATTTGTTGAAAGCATCTGTAGAGTTAAAACCCTATCATTAACAGGAAAAATTTTGTATTATATAGCTGATTATCAAATAATACAATGGCCATATTTAAATAAATCAAATAATCAAAATAATAAAATATTATCCATTTAAATAAAATTAATTCATATTTTTTATTAACAAAAAAAAATTTATTTTAAATGCCATTTATAAAAAAAATTGTATAATTTTATAAATATATATTGTTTAATTTATAGTATTGAAACTAATTATATTTGATATATTAAGATATATTAAAGTAAAATCTAAAAAAAATTTAAAAATTGACACATAAAATAATTATGGAAATTTATTAAATTGCAATACATAACTTTTGTGAACATTACTATTATTATTTAATATTTTATATTCAATATATAATTTCATAAAATTTTATATTTTATTGTAAAATAAATTATTATATATTTAGTAATATTAAAAATAATAAATATTTAATATTTCTTATAATATAAATTAAGAATATATCCATAAGTTGAAAAGACTATCAAAATTATTTTAAATATTATCAAAATTTT